AGAGTGCTAGGTTTACAAGTGAGAGTCACGCTGCTTGGCCAGGAAGTTCAGAAAATTTGGGAGGCATTTTAGGGATCAAGTGCTGGAGGAGTGTCATACTGTTGGTATTTAGTGAAGGGAGGACTTCCTGAATTCTAGGGCAGTGCTTCATAGTGAAAGGCTTTTCTAGATCCTAAATGATACCACACACCCCTACCCATCTTCGTTTGCAGCTGGGCATTGACAGTGATTGAACACAGAGGTGCTGGCTTCTGACTTTTTCATGATGAACCCTGGTGTAGCTGTGCCCATGCAGTTATCTATAGAAACACATTCTTGAATTTTTGTTTTGTTTTGTTTTGTTTTGAACACATTACTTCATTTCTCCTTTATACCACTGAGATTTTTAAATGTAATGTAGAGTTGGGCTATGTTATTTGTGAAATCCACTTCATCGTAATAAAAGGGGTGTTAAATTTTTTGTTGTTAATAGCGTGCACTGGGTCTGAGTTTACAGGATTTAGGATACAATGAGGCTTAGAGACGGATTAACCCAGCTCCTTGGCTGTCCAGGGAAGAAAACCAGGGCCCGAAGAGATGAAGTAAAAGTGAAACAAGCAGAAGATAAGAACCCTGGTTTCAAGACTCTAATCCCAGGGTACTGGGTATTCTTGAAGAGTCTGTACATCCTAAATAAAATAAGATTCCTTGAATTTTAAATTTTCTTCCAATCCTGACATTTTGTGTCAGAAAACTACTGCCCCTCCCTTGCCACTGTCTCCCTCCTTCCCCATCCCCACGTCATCAGCAGAGAAAGTGACCTTCTGGATGATCTCTGCAGGCAAGCATTCGGGGGAGCAGGGTGGGGGAGAAGCTCTGATGGTCAGGAAGAATGTCAGCAACTGTCCTTGACTTTCTCCTTTGACTGTCTACTTTTTCCAGCTCAGTTCCATAAGGAGCCTTTTGAACCCAGGGCTAATTCTGTGTATTCCCTACATGAATCTTCCAGAGCAGTCTAAAGTCCTCAGTCTCATCACTAAAGTGATGGAGCTTCAGGTACAAAAAGTTTAACATTTCAAATTACTATTTTACTTTTAATCTAAGAGCAAAAATGTCCTCCTTCCTCCTATCCAGAGCTGACGTGCTCTGCCCAACTCCACAGTCCGTACAAAGGTGCCCTCTGGAACTGTGGGGTTCAATGCCGCCAAGGCTGCATGCAGAGTCCCTCTCCCACTTCCTAAAATGAGAAATGAGTTTGTAGTGTGAAAAAGTCTGATCTGAATCAATATTTGCTTAAACACTGGCTTGACTGGCACCCTTTATTCATGACTTAAATTTGAATTGCAATTTACTCTCCGTGTTTAATCACAGGAGAACCGGGCCATATCTTAGCAGCTTCCTTTTGATAGCCAGGCACTTGGTGCCTTACGTGTTTAAGACTCACTGCTCCTTCCTGTTCCTACATTCTGGGTAGCCCACATCATGGCTGTTTCCTGCTCAGAGTTGTCTCAAACACTTCAGCATATTTAACAGGTGGAGAAGAACACTTTAAGACTGATAACTTCAGATAGCTCAGTACACAGTCCCACGTGGAAGCTGAGAACTGGTTACTGGTCCATGGCTTGTCAGGACCCAGGCCTCATAGCAGAGGGTGAGCCATGGGGGTTGAGGGAAAGAGAGAACAAAGCTTCCTCAGTATTTACAGCTGCTCCCCATCACTCACTCCCATCACCACCTGAGCTCTGCTCCATGTCACATCAGCAGCACCATTAGATTCCCATAGGAGCACAAACCCTACTGTAAACTGCACATCCAAGGATCCAGGCTGCCTGCTCCTTAGGAGACTCTAAAGTCTGATGATGTGAGGTGGGAATGTAATGCACTTGAATCATCCCCGAACCATCCTACCTCACCCCACCCTCCTCAGTTCTTGGAAAAATTGTCTTCCATGAAACCAATTCCTGGCGCTAAAAAGGTTGGGGACTGCTGACTTGGAGATTAAAAGTAGGAGCTTTTAAGTCAGATCACCTGGACACCTCTTAGCTATGTTACTTTAGGCATTTAATCTTATCCATGTAACTCCTAATTTCCTCATCAGTAAAATGAACAACAACAGTACTGGCCTCCTGGAGTTACTGTAAGTGTAACACGATCAAATGCACATAAAGTCTGGCACATGTTAAGGGTTGAAGCAATGTTACTACTGTTATGATTCTCTTTCCTCAGATTCTATTTAATTCCTATGGCCTACAGAGGAATGAATGGTCTCTTAGTATTACAGTTTTGTAACACACAGAGACACATAAAATAGAATAAAGTAAGAAATACAAAGTCTAATAAAGGAAGAGGAAAGGATTGCCCCTTAGAAGGAGCAATTTCATCTTCATTTTATTTGAACAGTAAAAATAACTACTTGCAACAAGCATTTGATACATGCCTTTTATTCTCACGGTGCTTTTCCATATAGCAGCCTTGTAGAGTAACCAGGTCCCCCATTCCCATTTTGCAGGTGAAAACACTGAGGCTCAGGAAGGTTTGGTAACTCAGTGCCTGGGATCTATGGCTGGAACACATGCATTGAAACTTGCTGTTGAGGGGTCTCACTTTGGTTTTCCACTAGTAGGGGTAGAGGCTCTCCACTAGGGGGCGCTTATCACGCAATGGCAGCACGTTGGCGGGGTACTAATCTCCCTCTGCCTCAAAAAAAAAAAAAAAGCAAAGTAAAAACTGTGCATTTAGTATATAAATATATCTTTTAAACATCTCCCTCTCCTATTCAGAAGTTCTAGAAACTGCGTTTCAGAATATAAAGAAGTAGCTATGTTATTCTAAAAAGCCCTGGAGGTGGTCCTAATGAACCTCTTCAGCTTGGAATCCCTGCATTATTAGGGAAGCTACAGAAGAGAAGATTGATCACCCCCATTGCACTGAGAATCAACACTTTTTTCTTTCCTGAAAATAAACACTTTGCCTCAGAATAAGAGACGCTGTTTTGAGCAGGGCCTCCACTTGCTTCTCTTGTTAGCAGTTGGTTTCTGGAAACGTGGGCTGGGGATAAGACTGCAGTACTGAGCTGAGGTGGTTCATATTTAGAAGGCCCACAGGGTTTCCTCAAAGGTCCCGCCTGTGACACATGAGAATGTTCTAAGAACGTCCTGTTAGAGACTTCTACAAAACTCACTTTTCAGTTACAGTCTCAAGCAAGTCACAGAACTACTTGAGGTTTTTGTTCTATATTTATTTTCAACTGTAGGGAGTCTCCCTTTCTTCCTCTTTTGGGGGTGAGAATTTTTTTTAACCCCTTTGCCAAGTCATTATTCACTAAATTGAAACCAAGGAGAGGAAGAAAAAAAGGGGGGGCATAAATAATAAAGGACAGTGCCTAAAATAAAATGCTCTGCCTTCCCCCTCCCCCATATTTACAGCAAGTATTGCAAACTGAGCAGGTGCCCAGCCGTTTACAGTCCAAACTATACTCACTCCACATCCCACCTGCCCCTTGTCACATAAACACATACTTGAGTCAAGAAAACTTTTTTCTGTTATGTTAATCATCAAGCCAAAGCAAATAGCCTTCTGCTGTCTGGATCCAGGGTGGCAATTAAATACGAAAACATCACAGGCCCTCTACACAAATAAGGGAAGGAAAAACCCCTCTGTACTGCAGCCCAGAGGGTGAGCCATCCCATGCCAGAGAGTTGCATCAGCTGTAACTCCCTGTAACCCACACAGTCAAGTTGGTTCCCCAACTTTGAACTTTATCAGTTTCACAGACCAGCACCACAGACTAGGTCAGTAGGAAATTGACTTAAGGTCCTTAGTGCAGGGCTTAAATCAATCAATCATCAATATGACAAGGTCTCAGTTGAAATATCCTGTTTCAAAAGCTATGGGTTTGTTGATTCATTCGCTAGTGTGCAATCATGGAGCAGCAAAGATCAAGGGAGACCCACCACTAAATAAAAGACCCCGGATACTTCTATCTATAATTAGAGTGAACTGAGTAAATGGATAAAATAATAGCATGATATCCGTGCCCACAGAGATATGTCGAAAGCCGTAGGGAGAAGAGAGAAGCAGGTAATAAATGAGAAAGGCAGCTCCCGCGGGAGAGGACGATGCTTTCTGGTTCACTACCACACTACTCATCTCCCGCACATACTCCAGGAAAAGCGCAAAACGCTGTTTCCTATTCTATTCACATTCAATAACGGGACTGGAGATATTGAATCTCAAGAGGTTAGTTTCTAAGGCTCCTCACACACAGGGGAACCTGTTTACAAATGCAACGTTGTTTCCACACACCACTCTGGAAAAAAGCTCTGGAAAATGCAGGCAGAAAAACCACTTCACCAGCTCTCCACCCAGCAGAATCCATCCTGACTGGGCGAACACGCAGCAGGGAAGGGAACTTCTGCTGGCAACACACTTCCCAGTCTTTGGCACAACTGCCCAGGCGTAACCCCAACTCCCATGTGTGGGAGGGAAGTCCAGAAGGGTGGTTAAGAGTTTCAGCATTCAAGCACGGGCTCTCTCTGGCCCCTTTTCGGCTTGACTGTCTGGGGGTTTGAGTGGGAAATTTCGCCGAAGCATTAAACTGAGCTGCGATCACCCCGTGGCTCCGCTCCGCACGGGGGGCGGGTGCACATCCTAAGTCTACCCTTAAACCCTTTCACTTCCCAACCTCTAATCTGCAACTCCAGCGTCCGCAGCTGAGAATGAAACAAAGTGCATTAAGAACCAGATGGAGTTTAGAAACCTCATTCGCCTCGCTTTATTTCCTTGTAGGTTAAAACCTGAAACGCCTCCGGGATGGGCACAAGTTGCCCCCAGGTGGGTAAAAGTTGTCAAAACTCCTCTCCGCAGCCACTCCCCAGACCCATCCCCAACCCCAGACACACACACACCCCCCAGGGTGCGACGGCACGTGGCTGAGTGTGAGAGCGAGTGTGCCAGTGTGAGGGTGGGAAGCCGAGTGGGTGTGTGCGCCCCGCGCGGTCCGCGCCGCGTTAACCCCTTACCTTCCAGCAGCACTTCCTTGCCAGCGCGCTTCAGCGCCTGCACCGCCTCGTCGTGGGTGGCATCCCGCAGGTCTGCTCCGTTCACCGACAGGATGGCGTCGCCCACGTACAGGGCCTGGGTCTGGTCCGCCGCTAGCCCCTTGAAGATCTTGCTGATGAGGATGGGCATCTTGTTCTCCTTGCCCCCCTTGATGCTGATGCCCAGTCCGCCCAGCTCCTGCTTCAGCACCTTCACGCCGCGCTTCTGGTTCGAGATGGACTCCGGCACCTGCTCGGGTAGGTCGGTGAAGGCGGTGCGGACCCCAGCGGGTGAGTCCGGGGGCTGCGCGCTGCCTGCGCCCGGGTGCCCGGCCCCGGTACCCCTGCAGAACGAACCATTGGTGGCGGTCCCGATGCCGTTGTACGCCGCAGCGCCCTCCTCGCAGCTCAGAACCAGGGCGTCCTCGCTCAAGTTCACCAGAACTTTGTGCCAGCGATCCCGCACCAAAACTTCCAGCAGCCCGCTCCGCTGCGCCCGGCCGCCTCCCCCGCCGGCCGCCGCTACCGCCATCTTTCCGGCATTCTTAAAATGCCATGTGATTGCAAAAGCGGGGAAAAGTGGGGAAGGGTTGAGGAGGGGAGGACGCGGGGCCCCAGGGAGCCAGGAGAGTGCGCCCCGCGGGGAGGAGGCGGGACGCGGGACTCCGCTCCGGGAGTTCGCAGACGCACTCGGCGGGAGTTGGCAGCCGCAACCACGCCGGTTCCCCTTGCCTGATCCGGGGCGGGGTGGAGCAACCTAAAAGCAGAAGGAGAGAGCGAACAGGGGAGGGGAAAAAAAGCCAACTGCCAGTTGCAAAACCCCAAGCCGAAGGGAGCCGCGGAACAGCCAAGCGTCCGTAGGAGGAGGATCGCCGGGAGGGAAGGGCGGGGACTGACTGCCCAGCGGCCTCTCACCTGTTCCAGCCGCCGCAGCTCGGCGGTCACACGCCGCCCTCCAGCCCAGACCCTCCCCTCCTCTGTTCTCCCAGCGCACGTCGCTGCAGGGACGGCTTCCCTAATACCTTCCCTGTCCCACTTCTCTCCAAAGCACCGCAGCCCCCCGCCCCCAGCCCTTGTTCTCTGCTGTCCCTTCTCTGTGCGCGACCACACCGCACCTTTGCCGGGAGCGTGCGTCCTGCCTCGGTGCCCTCACTCGCTCCTCCTGAGCCCCCTTCCCTTTCACACCCCGCGGGTGGAATTGTCTCAAGGTCTTAACCTTCCCACCCTGATCTCACACTTCCTCAAGCCATGGCTTCGCCGCCTCTGCTGAGTGCTTACCAGTCTTTCCCTTCCTCACGGACTCTCGGGAGGAAGGTAGACTCAGACCAAGGCCTTTGGCTTTTTGAGAGTTAAGAGGCAAAGCTGTCCCAAAAATCCAGAATGAAGCATCGGCATAAAACGAGCGCCCTAAATCTCCTCTCTTTAAATGCCGTTCGTCTTTTTGACCCTACTCTGGAGAAGTGTCTCTGCTGGCCGAGTTTTCAACAGGTCACTGCCTGCCCCAGACCCCAGGGACGAATGTTTCTCCAGCACTAGCGCATTATAAGTTCTATATTTCTACCTATCTTTGTTTTCCCCTGCAACGCCAATGCTGCCTGAGACTGTCTCTTCTCAAGATCCCTTACAAGAAGTCCCCTCTTTAAGAACTCAATTGGAATGGATTGTATCTCAAAAGTTCCTTCACAAGTTACCTGTTTGGATCTCAAGTTGCATTTTTTCAGGGTAACAATATTACAATTGTTGGTTATCCAGAAATGCACACATGACCAATGTCATCGCCAAACATTCCTGAGTTCTTCTGTCCTTGAACTTCTCAAGTTCTCCCACATCCAGAGAAGAGCTCATGGTCCTTGCATGGTGTTTCATACTTATTATTATTATTGCCCTTTTCGCTGCTCTCTATTCTCTCCAAAAGTGAAACAAAATGCACACATCTGCTAGTTCCCAGTCATAACCCAGCAAGGTGACAGAAATCTTATTGCACTCATTTCCACTGATGTGTATCATCTTTGAAAGTTCTCTGACTCTTCCAAAATGACTCACACTTTAATAAATAATAATCAAGGAGTTTAAAAACTCTGATAAATCCCTAAGAAGCGGAATTCCAGCCAGGGTCACAGCATGAAATAAAACCTTGGACAATTTCTTGAGAAGCAGGAGTCCTTGCGGGTCAGAGGGAGTCCTTGGATTCATGATTCTGTTTGCAGCTCCCTGCCTTGTCTATACTTTTTAACCCAGCAGTTTTCCAAAAGCGTTTTACCTTCCTTGAAAAGGTACTCACAGCAGGAACAGCAGCCTCAGGGGTTCTTCAGGATCAGAAGGGGAGCTGATATAGGTGGTGCCACCACTGGGGGTAGGGGTAGCAGCTGGGGCTGGCCCTCTTCTTTAGAGTCTGGGGACTCATGACATCACTGTCCAGTGAAATCAGAGCCTGAGTGTCTGCCTTCTAACTCAAACACACTAAGGTTGAGACAGGTACCAGTATGCCAGTGTAAAGATTTAGAAATCAAAACAGACCTGTCCCCAGACCAGAAATCTTCCATCAACATCATGCCCGCACTTGGCCTTTGAGGCCAGAGACAATCAGAAGTAATTTACTAATTTTTCCATAAGAAATTATAGGCTCTGGGATGGGAGTTTCTAAAAACCTCTGTGATAAGCACATTTATCTTTTTCTGTGTAAGCAAACCTATGTGGTAAGGAGTATGTTGCTTATACACAGTTGCATCAGAATGAGGGGAAACAATTATTTAATATCATTACACCTCAGGCATGTATGTTAGCCAGAGTTGGCTTTGCCAATGGAATTATAATTATAGCCCTATTCTAAGGGCTCTACACATCTAACTTCATCTTCTCAGTAATTCTCAGGACTTACTATTATTATCACTCCCGTTCGACAGGTGAAGAAGTGGAGGTACAGGTTTAATAATTTGCCCATGTCATGTAATTAGTAAATGTAGTCAGGATTTGAAGCCAACTATGAAGAGTCTGGGCCCTTAACCATTGTCATATATGCTTAAAAATCCTCAAGGCCTGTTAGCTGCATCCCCTGTGTTCATCTGTCCACTGAGGTCAGCCTTCCCAGTAGGAAAAAAAAGCCACTGAGGGTGAAGGCCCTTCCCCTAGCGTCTATGTAGGAAGGTAAAACCAGCCACTGTCTCTCGCCTTTCATCCTTTCCAAGGTTCGAGGGTCTACTACCCTCCTCCAACTGATGTCAATTTTTCTTATTTTCATTAATGAGTTCAAAGTGGTGACTATTGCGATCTTGCAGGATCTAGAAGTCTGTCATATCCCTGAGACAACTCTGAGTATGGGGCAACTGATTATCAACACTCAAAGGCAGATGTTATTGGTATCATTTCTTCGTTCTCGATGGGCCTACTGCACGGCAGTCTCATAATGCTCCAGTTAGACTAGCCCTTACTCTCTTATGTCTCCCCTTTCAAAGAGTGGTCACTGGAAAAACATAAGAGGGGTCCAATGTCCTTATCTACATGTGTGTATTTGAAGCTCAGAGCAGAGCAACAGGGGACCCAAGGCCTGCACAGTAAGTTTGTGGCAAAGCCAAGGTTGGGTAGCTCTGACTACAAGTCCAACTGCAGTATCCCAAAAATTACACCCAAACCCCGCTGCATCATATTTCTTTGTCTTAGCTCCTTCTGTTCTCTTTCTTCTTTCTGTCCTAAACATTGACTTCCATTTCCTACCTAGGCAGAACCAGGATCCCTTTTTCTCTCCCATGGGCTGTGAGTTTCCCTATAGATATTTGGGTGGACGTAGACTTGCAAGTGGAGGTCACACAGGTTTTAGCTCTGCAGGAGCCAAGGATACAGGACAGAGCAGATTCACAGGAAAGAAGGAACAATACTCATCTGTTTATTCCACAAAGTTGTTTTGTGCACCTGCCATGTCTGAGGCGCTGTTCTAGTTTCTGGGGTGTGGGGACAGAGGAACTGCAAACACCTGCCTTGTGAAACTTGCACTGAAGTGGTGATAGTAGGGTGGAGGTGGAGACAGCCTATAAATGCCTGAGATACTTTCACATGGGCATCGGAAGAAAATAAACAGAGGAATAGAATCGAAAATAACTGGAAGCCAATGACTCCTGGAGGCGGCTGCTGTTGAGGAAAGTCTTTGTGAGTAACATATGGTGGTAACATATGACTTAGGCTGAGATGTCAATGGCAAGAAGAGATTAGCCTTGCAGGATCTAGAGAAGAGGGTCCCCAGGAGAAGGAAAAGCCAGTGTAAAGTCCCGGAGACAGAACCAAGTTTGTTGGCTTCAAAGGACCAAACAGAGGTCAGTGTGGCTACCTCATGAAATGACCGGAAGGAGCTGAGGTCAGAGAGAGACTGGACCAGATCACAGGGCGGGGCTTTGGGGAATTACACCACAGACCCAAGGTAGGGTCCACCTTGTCCTCTTTGACCTTCCACACCACGCATATGGGACTTTGAGGGACTGTCCCATTTCAGACATTACTTCCTATTGCCAAGTAAGTAAATGAGAACATATGCTCTGGTTAGAACATACACTCTCATTGTTTAGTCTGGAAAATATGATCACTGTGCTTTTGCGACTGTTTCCTAGATAATAAATTGGGTGTCTTTAGGAGGACTTTTCCAGCGTCTGGCGTGGAGAGTGGATACAAAGTGAATAGTGGAGAGGAGGACGTGGAAAACTCTCTTTTGCCTGGAGGTGCATTAAAGAACAGAACAGAAGAGAGACGCAGGATGAGTCTTGATATGCAAAACCCCTAAGGTGAGGCCTGTCTGTGTAAATACGTGGGGACTACACACTTCTGAGCAATTACTGTGGTGAAGAACTAGGGTAGATGCTGGAGGAGGGCACAGCCAGGGTGGCAAAGATGATTAGGACAGGAAGATAGACTTGTACACAAACAGCCTACCCAGAGAACTGTGACTGTGGAGCTGAGTGTGAAGGGAACACCAGCCGCCAGATTCCAAATGATAGTGCTGGGTCAGTGACACTTATTTTAAAGAAATACCACTGAGGCTGGGGAATGACACATGACCAGGAGGCTGAACATTTTCTTTCTTTTCTGGTGTGCCCTAATTGGCCAGCAGGTATCTTATCACTTAAAAAGGGTGGGGGAAAACAACTCTATTGCATATACTGGCATATATATACCTGCATAGACCAGGGCAGGTCCTGGTAAACTAGATAGACCACCACCCGGATACTCACCCAACCACTCAGTCAGGTAGGAGTTATTTATGATTGTTCACTGTGTGTAGAATTTTGTAGTGGGGACTTTTTCAGCCTTCCCCAAGGAAGAATTGTAAAGTGATTAGTTGTTTAGCCTTCCTCTTCTTGTACTGAATTCTTCCTTTTCTTCTCTTCCATAATAATCTACTATGGAAACCACACATTTTATACTAGTGTTTTAATAGTTATGATTTAAATGCAGGTCCCTTTTCCTAAGAGATTATACCTTTGAAACTGTGGAATGGTAAGTGAGAGCCCATTTTAAAGACATGTCAAACATAATGAACCTGAGGCATCCTAGAAGGTGAGACATCCCACCATATACCGAAAACTTCAGTACGTCGGCCCAACTAAGAAGGGCAAACCAGATACAGGGAGGTCAAGGAGAAAAAGAAAGCCAAGTTTCATCCGTATGTATCTTTAAAATAATACAAAAGGACATTTAGAATAAGTATTTCAATAAGTATTTCAGAGCCTTGCTAAACCATTGTTCAGATTCCACAGAGACCAGTTATCTAATTACTAGGAGAACCTTTCCCATCAGGGATCTATATGTGATGGGACCTCTGTCTCCCTCCTTTCTCCACAGTATGTGCTTGCTGTGTAGAATCAT